GAATGTTGGTCGGGCCCGCCACAGCTGCAGGTGGCGCCGGCGGCCAGACTTTATGCGCTTGGCCGACGCACCTGGGCGAGAGGTGTATCCTGAGCCTAAAGGCTTATCACTCTTTATTTCCTGTCTTTCGTTATATTAATTTTAATTTCAAAAGGGACTGGCGTAATACATTTCCAATGGAGAGAGTCCCTTTTAGGGTTTTTGTTCCCTTACGGGCGCAAATCACCTCATGGCCCGGTGGTTGTCCGCCCGACAGCGACCTTTTCGCCTACATGCATCGGCCAAGTGCAAAAACAAAATTTGGGCCGCTGCGCTTCCAACACGCCGAAATCGGGGGACCGTCCCGTCCGGAGATGTCCGGCCCTGGTGACGTCATCACTGGCAACAGGTGAGAATGTTGGTCGGGCCCGCCACAGCTGCAGGTGGCGCCGGCGGCCCGACTTTATGCGCTTGGCCGACGCACCTGGGCGAGAGGTGTATCCTAAGCCTATAGGCTTATCGCTCTTTATTTCCTCTCTTTCGTTATATTAATTTTAATTTCAAAAGTGACTGGCGTAATACATTTCCAATGGAGAGAGTCCCTTATGGGTTTTTTTGTTCCCTTACGGGCGCAAATCACCTCATGGCCCGGCGGTTGTCCGCCCGAAAGGACCTATCGCCTACATGCGTCGGCCAAGTGCAAAAGTTTGCGCCACGGCGCTTTCAGTGTCCGACCGCAGTACTCAGGAATAGAAAAGTGTATACGTCCGACCTTAGTTCGGATGCCGCAACCGTCCAATCTAATCCTGTCAGTAATAAGCAAGTTTTATCTCATATCCTTTTTGGCGACGCCTCAGGGGCAGAGCCGTTGGTATAGTACTGCGATTGAGTTGAAAATATTTTGAGAATTCTACCAATGCATTCCATAGGGAATTGCTTTTTGGCGATACCTTGTTGGACTTACTCTCCAAGCAGAGGTTGGAGGGGGAGATCGTAACCCCCGCTAACGATCATCCCCACCAACCTCAACTTTTCACTGTGCGCCTTCCCTGCCACCCCATGTTTCAAATCAATCTGCAATGCCGAAAGGTTTCGACGCTCTTTTTTCCCCTTAAGCAATGCCTTTACTGATCTCTGCTAATTCTGTGCACGTGAGGTATCCAGGCAACAATAAGTTCTTAACATTATGCATGTAAATGTAAACAGTATAGTAGCAGGTAACAAATTAGATGAAATTTCAGCCTTGGCTTCAGAATTTAGTTTAGATATAATAGCGGTCACTGAGTCTTGGCTCAGTGACTCTGTCGATTCACATGAAATCTCCTTGGCTGGTTTTCAGCCGCCTTTTCGACGTGACCGTAACCGCCACGGCGGTGGGGTCCTTTTATATGTTTCAAATAGTATTTCATGTATAAGGCGCAGCGATCTTGAGCCGCAATCCTTTGAATCCATGTGGCTGGAACTTAAATTGGCTCTTTTAAAATACTTTTTTCTGTTTACTACCGGCCACCTGGACAAAATGTTTGCATAATTGATGACTTCATGAATTCCTTTACCGACTCTGTCATCAGGGCGCGTTCTTCGCGCCCCGATGCCATTGTTGTTACAAGTGACTTCAATGCTAAACACAATGAGTGGTGGCACCAGGACCCAATAAACTATGCAGGAGCAAAACTTTACCAAACTTGTCAATTTGTTAACTTTGAACAAATAGTAAGGGAACCCACTTGCGATTTATCGCAGTCTCCATCTTTAATTGACTTGATTTTAACGGATTTTCCTCGCTTTTTCTCTGATTGTACTGTTTTAGCTCCCTTGTCCGGATGCCACCACTCTCCTATCATTGGTCACATGAAACTTTCTATCTATGTTCCTAAACCTTACAGTCGTACCATTTGGGACTACAAAAATATCAATTATGACTCCCTCCTTGCCTTTTCAAATGATCCCTCATGGAATGACATTTACAAGTGTGAGACGGTTGAAGAAGCCAGTAACAAATTATGTGATCTTATCCTGGAGGCGAAAGGTCGCTGCGTCCCCCATAAATCAATTGTTATTAAGTTCAATGATAAACCCTGGATGTCTTCAAAAATAAGGCGACTTATGCGCTCCCGCGATAAGTCGCACAGAATTGCCAAACTTTCTAACAATTCTATTGACTGGGAATCATATCGTAAGATTCGTAATAGACTTTCTACAGAAATCACACGAGCCAAGGCGGAATATCAATCTCACTTGGTTCAATCTCTTTCTGATCCCGCATCTGCTAGTAAAAATGGTGGCACATCGTTAAACATTTTTATAGACCTAAATCGTATACAGCAATCCCTCCTCTCCTCGAAGGAAATTCTTCCATAGTTGATTCCTATAAGAAGGCATGTTTATTTAACGAGTATTTTATCTCACAGTCCTTAATTGACACGTCTAATGCTACCCTTCCTAATTTTAAATCTTTTACAGATGCAAGGTTGTCTTGTGTCTTCACTACACCCGAAGAGATCGAACTTTATATCAGTTGCCTGGATGTCTCTAAAGCCCATGGATATGATAATATAGATAACTGTTTTCTCAAAATCATTGCGCCCCTTATATCTGATAAATTATCTTATGTTTTTAACTTATCTTTGTCGTATGGAATATTTCCCATGACCTGGAAACGGGCTAACGTTGTTCCAATTTTTAAGAAAGGAGACCCTCAAGATAAATGTAATTACCGTCCTGTATCACTCCTCCCTACCTTGTCAAAGGTCCTCGAAAAAATTGTACACAAACATCTTTATAACCATCTCTTTTCAAATAATCTTATTTATCGTCTCCAGTCTGGTTTTATACATGGGGATTCAACTGTGTGTCAGTTAGTTTACATTTGTCACACTATCCTTAAGGCTTTTGAGGAAGGGAAAGAAGTTCGTTCTGTGTTCCTTGATTTTTCGCGGGCCTTTGACAAGGTATGGCATTCCGGTTTAATTCTTAAACTGCAGCAAAATGGAGTTCACGGTCCCTTATTAAACTGGATTCACAGTTATCTATGTGACCGGTCCCAGAGAGTTGTCATAGATGGACAGACTTCTCCCTGGTCCAAGATCGGCGCAGGTGTTCCCCAAGGCTCTGTGTTAGGACCATTACTGTTTATCATATATATATTAAATGACATTGTAAATAACTTAAATTCTTTACCCTTTTTATTTGCGGATGATAGCTCCCTACTTGACGTAGTTGATAACCCGACCGCATCTGCATATAGGCTTAACTCTGATTTGAGTAAAATTCTGTCTTGGTCCAAAAAATGGCTAATGGAACTAAATCCATCTAAAACTGAAGAGATGTCATTTTATACTAAAAGATCCCCTATCACCCACCCTCCTCTTTATCTTGGGTCGTCTAAAATTAATTGTGTCCCACACCATAAACATATTGGAGTTATATTGACCACCAATATGTCTTGGCACAACCATATTATTCAGATGTTAGCCAAAATATCCAAACAGGTCACTGTACTTCGTGGTTTAAAGTTTAAATTACCTCGCAATGTTTTAGAAACCATTTATAAATCATTTGTCCGTCCCTGTTTGGAGTATGCAGATGTGATCTGGCATGGCTGTACTGCTGAAGACTCCGCTCGTGTTGAAAGAATCAGAATATGAATGTTCTCTTATCGTCTCAGGAGCAGTTAAAGGCTCTTCTTACTTATCTGTTTGTCAAGAACTGGGTCTTTCTAGCAGACGCCATTTTCATCGCTTATTTTTATTTCATAAAATAGTCAATGGCCTAACACGGATATATCTTTTTGACTTAATCCCCCCTGAAATTTCTCAAACCACTCTGTACAATTTAAGAAATAGTAACGACTTTCGACTTTCCTTACAATTTACTAATAGGTTTAGTAGATCTTTTATACCCTATTGTTTAAGTCATTGGAATGAACTGGACCTGGAAGTTCGTTCTTTACGATACTCCTTGTTCCGGAAACACCTTATTAGATTAGTACGCCCCCTTTGTCCGCCACATTACAATTGTGGCCCGCGTTACACCTGCGCCCTTCTTGTTCGGCTCCGCATCGGCACCTGTGCTCTCAATCACAGTTTGTTTTCCCGAGGACTCTCTACCAGTGCTTCTTGTAGATGCGAGTGTCGTTGCGAATCTGTCATGCACTTCATGCTACATTGTCCATTATACAATAATGAGAGATCGGAACTTTTTGGCAATCTTGCAGATTTACTTGGTCATCTTGTCAACCTTAATAATATGTCAGATAATGCTAAACTGCACTTTATTCTTAGAGGCTCCTCAATGTTACCCTCTATGTACAACTTTAAAACGATGCAACTCACTCAGGTTTACATTGGAGATACCAAACGCTTCTAGCTCTGCTTGACTGTTTCTAACAGTCAATTAGATATAAAAGGCCAAATAAAATACTACGTAAGTGTTAATGGGCCTAAATTCTCCTCCTAGCTCTGATTGGCGGATGTTTTCCGCCAATGAGATATAGGAGGTTACCATGTAATCTTATCTTTCAAATAGCTCTGTTAGCATTTAATTTAATATTTCAATGTCTTGGGGTGGTGGGACCACGGCGCACATGTCAACTTTGTATATTTAAACGTTAATTGTACCTTTTTTGTGTGTGGCGCTGTTAATATAAGTTGTTAACTTGAATGCAGCGTCACACTGTCCTTGTTATGTCTTTATGTTTTGATGAATAAAAAAAAACAACCTCTGCTTGAAGAGTAGTGGGACCAGCCTTTGCACATAGGCTTGTGGCATGAGACATGTGGCAGTCTGTAGAGTGTTTTACGATACATGTACTTCAAAAAAAAGTTCTCTAGATTTAATGACGACCAAGATGTCTCAACTGTTTGTCGATACAGGCTTCTGCAACGCCAGCCAAAGGTTCCCTTATATTGGGCATGTTAAAACTTCAAGTCAGATTGATTGCTGGGAATTTTTTTATAACTTAACTGTGTGATGATAGTGATGTTTTGTGTATATGTAAGGGATTTTATTCATTTGTGCGACTGTTTGTGTCAGTATTGCTTTTTTTATTCTTGGATTCTTTTTTTTTTGTTTTTGCTTTCACGATGCTGCTGCATTCAATACTTATTTTTCTTGCGTGAAAAACTCGCATGCACCACACCCCGATCCTTCCACAACTTGGCGTCGTGAATTCTGCTGTAGTCTGCATTTCAGTTTAAGGCGAAGTTTACCTGTGGTCAGCAAGAGAGAGCAGAGCATAAATTAATCTATGCCAACTTTTCCTTAGATATGCTTTTAAATTAACAAGATTTAGGGTCATGTTTTGACATAAATGTAAATATGCAAAGCATGTAAGTCGATAAATTTTACAGAATGCAATGATGCGCACATCAAACTAAACAAAGGTTGAAAGTCATATGTATGCCCATTCATCAAGAACGATGTTACGTAATTACGATGACACATGAACTTCATGCTGCCCAGATCAACAGAAACAGCAAATATATTGTGTGGACTTACCGCTGTTTTGGCCCTTCTGTAATCGGTACTGTTAGTCCATCTTGTCAGTGAATGTCGAGTGAATGAGGGGCACCCGCTGCGGGCATACAGAGAGAAAGAGTATGAATAAATTAAAGCCATTTCTGCCTTTCAAGAGACTCAAGAGGAACACCGATTGGAATCTCTGCCGGTAGATATTCTGATCGGAGACTCAGCTGTTACAATCATTACATTTTACTGTACAGAAATACATGCTATTTAGGTTTTACGACAATCACAATCTATTTAAATTATACCGGCAGCTACCAGCAATTTCATTGAATGTTTAACATTTAGGATATGTTATTAAGTCATAGCAATAGACTTCTTCCACATTGGAGTTTCTACCCAGCCTCTGGTACTGTTGTAAAGAATTTGACATTAGAAAACTGAAAAGGCTGCAGGACTCAGGGCCTGATGTAGGGTGGGAAAATACTGGTACGTTGTTGATATAATAATCAATCTGGACAGGTCAGTCTTATCAGAGGGGAGAGGATATTACTTGTAGGTAAGGGCGGAAAATCCTGGAGGAACATGTAAGGTGGTTAAATCATCAGCTTCTTCCAAACCTGACGCTGAGGTCTCTGAGTACCTGGGGGGGGGTGTCTCGAACACATCGAACGCAACTTCTCTCATTCGGGCATCGTGATCCTCGGAGACACCCACAGTTATAGTCTCCTTCATTGTGCTCCAAGTTTGGACTTAAACAAGTAGTCACAAGTAGGCTACCAGAGGTGTTAACCAGCTTGACTCTATTTACACCAACATCAAACATCTGTATCCCTCCCCTGTTCATCTGCCACCGATCAGTACATCAGATCATCAGTCCATTCTCCTGCCAGGTGGACCATGGCCATACAAACGTTCCAAGTACATCATGCGTAGGCAATGCAACCCTGAAGCAATGAGAAGGCTGGGACTTTATGAGTCCGCTGAGCCTTCCGGAAAGGTTGCGGTTCTGACGTCCATGTTGGAAGGAATACTTGACAAGTCGGTCCCTGTTAAAAGAGTCAAGATCACCACCACCGATAAACCGTGGATGTCTGTTAAAATCAAGGAGCTGTTAGCAGAGCGACAACAAGCATTCTGTGATGGGAATACCACTAACCTTGTACTCCAAACTAAAAAACGCCGTCGCTAACAAGATAAAAAAAAGCTAAACGGCGGTACTACCACAGGGAGGTGGCGCATCTCAAACAATCTAACCCGGGACAGTGGTTTAAAACCATCAAGACTCCTATGGGCATGGAAACTGTAACTGAGAGTGACTCTAACTCCAACCCCATGGCAGTGCCCTACAAGGTGCGTGTGATACTCTGGCAACACACTTCGCCTCTGTGTGGAGTCAAGTTACCCGTACTGTCCCCTCGTTGTCTGATGTAGGCCACAAGTTTTCTGAACATGAGATTACACCGTTCAGTATTGGTCAGGTCAAGTCCAGGCTTCGTCAGCTAAATGGACGGAAAGCGGCAGGACCAGACCTCATCCCCTCATGGGTACTAAAACAGTATCACGAAGAACCCGCCCCGGTTCTGTGTCATGTATTCAACTCCTGTCTACTAACGTGTTCATTTCCGTCACCGTGGAAAGAGGCTCTAGTTAAGGCAGTTCCCAAAAAGCCAAGGCCTCACTTCCCGATCGACCGAATTTCGCCAAATCTCACTGGTCAGTTGTGTCGGGAAAGTGTATGAAGGAATGCTCCGGGACGTGCTGCTACAAGACACGAAGAAGAGCTTGGTCCCATCTCAGCACGGATTCTTGGCAAAACGCTCGACTGTTACAGCTCTGTGTTATATTCTTCAACTGTGGCATGACGCACTCAACTCCACACCCAAGCTAGATGTACACGCCGTTTTCGTGGACTTTTCCCGTGCGTTTGACACCATTAATCACGGACGACTCCTGCAAACCCTTGCTGACTTGGGTATCAGACGGTCCCTGTGGAAGTCAATCAGCAGTTACCTGGAAGGTAGATCGCAGCGAGTGAGCTGGGGTTCATGTGTATCCAGTCCTCACTCTAGCATCTGTCCTGGCGGGCGTTCCCCAGGGAGGGCTGCTGTCACAGTTGTTGTTCGTTATTTGTATTAACTCATTGGATTCGTGTATACCTCGGTCAGTAGTGCCGGTGAAATACGCCGATGACCTGACTAACACAGAACTCCTGATGGGCTCACTACCCGGACAGTCTCAAAGAGCGCTGGACTCTGTTGTTACATGGAGGGAAGACTTTTCTCTCTCAGCGAACTCCAAGAAAACAAAGGACATGGTGATCAGTGCAAGGAAAAGGGAAAACGCACCAAATCCTCCCCAGTTGACTGTAGACGGTCACCAGATCAAACGGGTTAAGACATTCAAACTGCTTGGTGTTTTTGTATCAAATGATTTGACATGGGACGCTCACATTCAGTATATGTTGACGAGAACGCGCCCGAGAATTCACTATCTAGCTGTTGCTAAGAAGGCAGGACTGTCCTCAGATATACTTGTACAGATTTACCTTGTGTTTATACGTCCTGTATTAGAGTATGCTAGCCCGGTTTGGGGAGGCCTGCCAAAACGCCTCTCAGATATGCTTGAAAGTGTGCAAAAGAGATGCTGTAGGATCATTGGCATCCCAGTTGAATCTTTACCTTCTTTGTCCACAAGGCGAGATCAGATCACTCTTCGCACAATTCAGAACATCCTGAAGGATGCTAATAGCCCTCTGCTTGACTTTGTATCCTCTCCGACACAATGTAATTACAACCTGCGTAGAGGTAAACCTGTCACTGTCTCATCATCTAGTAAAACGAAAAGGCATGAACAGTCTTTTGTACCCCGTGCGTTGAAGCTGCTGTCTAAAACCTGATCTTTGTATACATTTATAGTGGTTTTATGATGTTACTCTTCTTTAGTAATACTGATTTTAGAATGTTCAACTGTAAGTTTTTTTATGATGTATTTTATCGCTATTTATGCAGATGTATGTGACATTTTATGCTATCTATTGTAATAATTGAGTACAAGTTGTAAATATTCGACATATTTCATGCACTGATGTGACATGCCAGTCGATATTCAGTAAAATCTGAATCTGAATCTAAAACTTTACGTAAACAAAATTCTGACGCCCTCTTACATGATAAAAGATAACAGGTGTTTGTCCATCTCACCTTCTGTAGCCCGGGAGTGGGTATGGGCATGGCGTAGCTCACCTGCGGGGACAAAGAGAGAAAAAGACATGAATAAACTGAAGCCGTTCCCAGAGAAACAAATATGTTTGCTTTCCATTTGCAAATATATGTCATGATAGACACCCCGGAAACTTACGGGGGAACATGGCAAGTTGCGGAAACTTTACGTTGACAAAATTCTGAGGTACACTCAACTGATGAAAGATAACAGGTGTGGTAAAGCAACTTAAGAACACGTACTTGCTTGGTGCCCACAATATGTCATAATGATCAATTGGATCAGTAATAACATTGAAAGTAGGCCGCTTGGGTGACGGCGTACGCCGACACAAAAGCATGTAAAGGGGCACACCCCAGTTTATGTTGGGTCACAATTCAATTCTGCACACCCTCAACTCTATTTCAGGAAATAATTCTTAAGCCGAAACACTGTTTGTAAATGAAGGATATCCCTCTAGCTACGAGATCTAGAACAATAGAATTTCAGTTTCCATAACCTCTCAAATTGTAGCAAATCTAGGGGGAAAAAGAATTTTTCAATGAAAAAAAAATGATGCCAACAATTGGGCATTTTCACGTGCAATTAAACCCATCACCAATAATTTAGTCACCAAAATGACTTATACTGTCGAAAGAGAATGTATAGAGTACTATCAAGAAAAGTATAAAGAAAATCCTAACACTGAGATTATCACAATAGCCCGTCGCGCGAGGCATAGCGACAGCACCCCTAGAACGCATAGAAGGCATATCTGGGTCAAACCCGTTCGGAAGCACCGCGCTCAAGGCGGAAGGACACCCGGAAGTAAGCCTGGGGCCCAAAATCAATTTTCAACCCAAATACGCACTTTTTACACTTTCCAGCAATGTTAGTAGTTTAAAATACTAACATTTTAAAATACCATTCTAAATACCATTTTGCAGCAGATAATTAGAAATGTGACCATCGAAACCCCTAAGTCACTTTTTACCGCGCACTGCCACGGATAACGTTACAATTTCAAAACTAGTTGACACAATAAGACTCGGTTAACGAAACGCTTACTGACCGAACTAATAAACACAGCGCTAACTAAAATAGAAAACAAAAACAGCTATGTGGGGACCGGTGTAAGAGGGGAAATACAAGTACACTGTAGTAACCTCTTACAATACTGGAACTGATATACATGGCATTACATATGCAAACACAACGCGTTTACAAACAAACAGGTAATACATAATTGTAATAATATCATAGACAGGTGCAAAAACTTGTTTGGTGCCTTGCGAAACTAACAAAAAATCCTATAAGATTGGTACTAAGGAAAACAGGAAAACAGAGACGGCAAAATGTTGTTGATTTAATCAAAACAGCAAGGATGGTTATCATTACAAGATGGCGGCGACGACGGTCATGCCGACCGTACGCTCCTGCTAGAATGAGTTAAATTGTGTCTTACGCAAGGATATACCCGATATTTTACATTGAACTAGTTGTGTTGAGGTAATTTATTGTACCCTGATCAATTTCCGGGGTCTTTGGTTTGTCTCCATCGACTTTACAACGACTTTTTAGGATCGGCTCAAAACCCAAGCCGACCCAAGCGACGATATGGCGGACAGCGGAAGTGACCCCGAGGACCTGTACTCTGCAGCTGACAGTCTGCAAGCGGACGCCCTCTCATGTCAACTACAACTAGAGACTAGCGGCAATAAATGCTGGGCGTCCGGTATTCGTAAAGTTTTGGAGGAATGCGGTTTTGCTTACGTATGGCGACCTAATATATCTCTTAGCACAAACCTATCACCACTAATTAACTCCATCAGCCAACGATTGAAAGATATTTACACCCAAACATTTATCACTGAAATCCACAATGACCATAACAGAGGTACATCTTCTAGTAACAAGTTACGAACGTACCGTTTGTTTAAAACTATATATAAAGAAGAAGAGTACCTATCGGTTAACAACATACAACACAGGGTAGCTGCAACAAAACTCCGAATAAGTTGCCACAAATTACTCATAGAAACGGGACGGCACAACCGCATTCCTCTCCAGAACAGACTCTGTCAATACTGTAACATGAATAGAATAGAAGATGAACAACACTTTATTTTAGACTGTACTTTATATTCTAATGAAAGATCTGTCCTTTTTAATTATATCAAAGAGAAGTTCCCATACTTTGAACACCTAAGCGCAAATGATAAATTTATATTTTTGATGCGTCTAGACAAACCATGTATCACAAACATGATCTGCTCCCACATTTTTCACTGTACAAAAAAGCGAGAAGAAGTTGACCTGTCTGTATTAGCTCAGTTACTAGAACACTATGTATTAGCCTAGTATAGTACCCTTGTATGTTCCTTATGTATGTATGTCTAAGTCAAGTAGTGCATCTTTTGTCTCCAATTTTCTATATACGTTTGTTATGTGTCTGTCATACTCAGTATCTTGACCTGTACCTAGCCCGTCGTGGCATGAATGTACAATAAAGGTATTAATCTATTAATCTGTACTTGGAGTTCCTACTGCAGCTTCTCACGCTGAGATCGTCGACGCCTACAAGAGGGAGGTCTTACAGTTTGAAGAGGTCTCTAAGCTTGGCAAGAAAAACAGCGTTTTCAAGGAAGCTGAAAAAAGCACAAGGAGGTGAGCAAAGCGTTCTTTGTTCTGTCAGACGCGTCACATAGGCAATCATACAAATTGACAGCGGTGTCTTCCCCGACTCTCCCAAGCCTACAAGGAGATCTCGACAACAAGGAAGAGACTATTTCGTGAAACATAATGAACAAAGCATCACCATTTTCCTGCCCCAAAATCTTGCGAAGCTTTGGCTTACTACCTGCGAAGATCTGTACGACACTAAAGCAACGGACGGTGGGAAGAACGGCCACCAAATCAAAACTACCTACAGTGATGCCAAATCTAGCGATCCAGTAGGAACTGTAAGCATCAAAGTGTATGAAACTACAACAGAAGATGTTGATTCAGGGCTCAGCGTATTTGCTTTGGTTCTCAGAAGTATTCCCTTTGCTAAGAAAGAAGATCAACCCTACATCTGTCCGTGCTGTTGTCCCGTTCGAAAACTTGAGCTCGGGTGATATCTCAGAGCCTGAGTCTGTGGCCAATCCATCTATCTGCCAATCTTGCGACCAGCCACTCTCATCGGATGTTTGCCCTCTGTGCAATACAGTACCTAAGGATGTTTTGGACGTGAACAGTAATGCCTTAAGTTCTCACAATCATGAATCTCAGACCGACAATCACTCTATTCACTTCAACGCTCAAGTCCAGGATAGCGTAAACAAACTGGAAACTTGTTTGATAGACTCCATCGCGGACAGGAAAATGTTCGAGGACTCCGTCTCACAGCGTCTCTCTGCCCTTGAAACTAAACAGAACTCGTGCCAACATTCCTGTGACAATATGTCAGTTGAAGAGGGAAGAAAGTTGAGGGACGACATTGTTCGACTAGAAGGTGTGAAATGCGACCTTGAACGCCAAATCGGGACGTTACGTGTACAGCTCGAAGAACTAACTGCTATTGTTCAGAACACCTCAGTCAAAGTAAAATCAACGGAATCTCAAACAACAGATGAACACTCCACAGCTCAGGATTCCGAACGTGTTAACAAGCTGTTACACGAAGTAGCTTCGGTGAATGTACAAAACCGTTTCGCAGTCCTGAGTGAAGTCTCTGATCCTTCCGACACCGACAGTTCGCGCCCTGTGTCAAAACACGGCGCACAGGATGCTGATTCAAAAGCTAATCAGTCTGCGCGTGAGGTCCGCCGTGAAGTGCCAGTGCCCGACGAAACAATCAAGACCAATCAGCAAAACAAAGACACGCCACCAGACATTCTGATTCTTGGCGACTCCAACACAAGGGCACTAAAAGCAGACATCCTGTACCCCAACAAAAGAGTGAGAAAGGAGCTAGCTTTCAACCTGACAGAATCCACTGAATTCATTCAGCGCTCAAAGCTACCCGAACCAAAGGTGATTTTGTTTCACGTTGGCACTAATGATATTCGTGACACACCAGACGCAACGAAGGTGTCTGAAGGCTTTCGTAAGCTCATTCAAACCACGCATGACAAATACCCCAACAGCAGTATTGTTATGTCTTCTGTCCTACCAAGAGATGCACCTGCCCTACAAGATGTAGGAAATGACGTTAACTCTTTTCTGAAAGTTGTCGCAGATGAAACAAGTTATGTTCACACCATCGACAATTCAAACTTTGCCGACTCTGGAGCAATCAAGAGTGCTCTCTACTCGCCGGACGGTTACCATATCAATAGATTCGGCATCCGTGTTCTGGCCGCCAACATCAAGCGAACGACCAATCCTCTCTTGGGGCTTGGTCTGTACACGGGTAGGAAGACCCAACCTGCAATGAACACAGTGAAAAACTCTCAGACTCGATCATACAGAGACGCTGTGATCGGCGCACCCTCTAAACCTCCCGCCCGACAGCTCCCACGCACATCGATGTCTGGGTCGTCCACACCTCCGGAACAAGGTCGGCGACCTAAACCAACTGGACGTGATCTACCGACAGCCCTCACGCACGTCCATGCACGGGCCCTCCCCAACACCGGACCACGGCCGGCATCCTACACCTACTGGTCCTCCAGTAACCGGATGCGAACTTAGAACAGTGGCGCCCAGGCAAGTGCTAGAAGATAAGGAGACAACACGGCCTACTTCCCAGAGACCTGGGCACACTCCTACCACTCCATGGCGTCATATTCCACCTACACCTAACCAACTCCCTGGACCTTGGTGCCCGCCCATGTTCAACCAACCTGCTGGCCCATGGGGATTCCCTCCGACAAGCGCCCCGGGTCCCAGCCTGCCGCGCCAACCACCACGGTTCAACCCGCCGCCCTGGCCATGGCATCCGAGCATGATGTGGCATCCAATGTTTCCAGTGTGGTAGGAATTATACATATACCGTCACAGTAACTGATACATGTACTATTATTTTTAGTCAAGCCTACCACGTATCTGTTACGAT